GCCGCAGTAGCAATAGTAGTGGTAGAACCAGGATGGGCATGTGCAGTCGCATATCTGTTGTTCTGGCTCAAGCCGTTCGTTTGTCAGTTCTCCCTGGCACGTGGGAGCGCGTTGCGAACGCCGCTGGCGCACCGCGACGATGGTGGCGCCGATGCGCCTTTTGCTTGTCTGGCTCGCGGCGGGCGCGGCCGCAACGGACGCCCCAGGCCCCGAGGGGCTGCGCGCGGACGTGGCGGAGCTGCGCGAGGAGCTGCGCGAGGAGCTGCGCGCGGAGCTGCGCGAGGAGCTGCAAGCGGGCCTGGGGGCTCGGCGCCTGGAGGCGGAGCAGCTGGCGGCAGACACGGATCGGCGCCTGACCGGCACAGAGAGCGCAATGACGTCTTCTTGGTTGATCTTGTGTGGCGCGCTGGTGATGTTCATGCACGCAGGCTTCGCCATGCTTGAGACGGGTAGCTGCAGGGCAAAGAACGCGTCGAACGTGTTGATGAAGAACCTCGTGAACGTGTGCATGGGCACGATCGGGTGGTACTGGTTCGGGTGGGCCTTCGCTTACGGCGTTGATGACCACACGCCCCAGGTGGAGACAGGAGGGAATGGTTTCATTGGCACCGACGGCTTTGCTGGTAAAGACTTCAACAACTACGAAACTGAGGGGGCCATCGTATCGAATGGCGTTGCTCTCGCTTGGTTCTTCCAGTGGGCCTTCTGCACTGCTGCCGCGACAATCGTCAGCGGCGCTGTCGCCGAGCGCGTTCTGAGCCCCACGTACGCAGTCTTTGCCTTCGTGATGGCGTCTTTCATCTACCCCGTGGTCGTCGCGTGGACTTGGGGCTATGGGTGGCTCAGCAACTTGTTCGACGCCCAGATCATCGACTTCGCGGGCAGCGGCATCGTTCACCTCACCGGCGGCGTTGCCGGGCTCGCAGGCACCATCGTGTTGGGACCACGCAAGGGTCGCTTCGAGAACCCCGAGCAGTTCGACGCGCACAGCCTGCCGCTTGTCGTGCTGGGCACCTTCATCCTGTGGTTCGGTTGGTATGGTTTCAACTGCGGCTCCACCCTCTCGATGAACGAGGGCGCTGGCCTGCTGGCCGCCCAGGTGGCCATGAACACGACGATCTCCGCCGCGACTGGCGGAATGACCGTCTTCTTCCTGCGGTACATGCTCTCGCACACCTACGACGTGGGTGGCCTGTGCAACGGCATCCTGGCCGGCCTGGTGTCCATCACGGCTCCTTGCGGCAACGTGGAGGCCGGCAGTGCCCTCACGATCGGGCTCATCGGCGCTTTTGTGTACCAGGGATGCTCCATGCTGCTCCAGAAGCTCAAGATCGACGACCCGGTGGACGCTGTCCCGGTCCACGGCGCCTGCGGCATTTGGGGCGTGCTTGCCGCGTTCTTCTTCGACTGGGGCGTCGGCTTCAAGCACTTCCACGGTTGGAGCGGCTTCAGCTGCACGGTCGACCCCGAAACGGGCAGCTGCGACGACTACGCTACTGGCAATGTGCTCGCCGCCCACATAGTCATGATTCTCGCGATCATCTTGTGGTCTGGCACCCTCTCCGGCGTCACCTTCTTCGTGCTCAAGATGACCGGCAAGCTTCGCATCGACGAGATGACGGAGGACATGGGGCTGGACGCCGCCAAGCACTCCCCGCCCAAGGCGTACACCATGTCGACTGGCGCCCCAGCGCAGACGCCGAACATGAACCCCACGAACGCCTTTGGCTGAGGCGCGCTTCGCCGGACGTACGCGGCGCTGGTGCGGGGTGGAACCTCGCAGCCGACTGTTCCAGGAACCTGGGAGCGGCAACCAGAAAGACCCGAATTCGTTTGCTTTGACACGGCGTCCAGGAAGGTGCGCTGGCCAGGTTGGGGCGTTTACCCCAACCGCGATCACCCACGCGCCGTCGTCGCTTTGATTTGACAACTCGTTGGAGTTGATGTATTCGCTGTGGGACGGAGTCTCACCACTGCCTCGCTGGGTTATTTCGCACAGCGGCGCGGTTCCCACTAGCAGTTGTGGTTCACGCGCCGTCACGGCCTCATGTTGGTGTCGGGTTACTTACGGTAGAGTCCCGCATCCTGTGGGGCGGAGCCCCGCGCCTGTCGATAGATTGGCGGAGGACGGCAAGACGCCCTCCCCGAGGCCAAGAGACGCCATCACGGTGGGCACGAGGGAGGGGAGGGTGGAGGATTGGAGAGATCGAGGTGCTTTGCCCAAGGATTCTTGCGGCTGTGGCGGCTCAGCCGATGTCGTGGATCCCAACAGTGCGTTCTTGCACTGGCAAGCTATGTGGCGAACACTGACTCAGCGGTGCAAGCTTCGCGGTGCAGGCTATGGAGCGCCAGCTGTGGTGCAAACCATGTGGCACAAGCTGTGTGGTGCAAGCTACTGACGTGGTGCAAGCTACGTGGTCCAAGCTGATGTGGTGCAAGCTGATGTGGTGCAAGCTGCGTGGGCCAGCCAGTCAGCGACGTGCCCTCGCAGCGCTCGCTGGAGCCCACGGGGCGAAACAGCTGCACCCCCTCCTGGCGCACGGAGGCGCCCACGAAACCCCCGCAGGCCAGGCGCGGACCCACCCGTGTGAGGCGCCCGCGAAGCGCAACCGAACGAAACCCCTGGCAGACTCACCCGGCGGAACCCGCGCAGACCCAGCCGATCAGTTGGCAACATCTTAGCCAGCGGGACTTGCGAGTTCTTGCAACGACGAGGTGAGTGCTATGCGATGTGCACCAACGTTTCAGAGTCGTGAGCTGCCAACTTCAGTGCTCGTGCAACTGTCCCACCCTCCCACCCGCAAATTGTTTTGCAAACTCGCTCGGCCACGATGGCGGATGTGCTCTGCACCGGCTGGGGCCTCTCCGGCGGCCGCGCTGGCACGCGCAAGCTCGCGCGCGGAGCAACCAGCTGGTTTGGCACAAGTGACGCGGCCGCGATAGCGTTTGCCGATGGGCACTTCCCCGAGCGTCTCAGAGGCCGCGTTGGCGCGCGGTGGCGCGCGGGCACTTCAGTGCGACACGGTGTCTCGGGCTAGCGCGGCATCCTGATGATGTCGACAACGGCGGTTAATTATGTTGGTGGCGATGTTGGCGGTGACGACGGCAAGGCCAATGACAGCGACGATGATGACGATGGCGGTGATGATGATGATGATGATTCTGATGATGGTAATGCTGATGATGATGATGGTGGTGGTGGTGATGGTGAGGGTGAGGGTGAGGGTGATGGTGATGGTGATGGTCATGGTGATGATGCTGATGTTGATGTTGATATTGCTGCTGGTGATCACGATGGTGATGGTGATGGTGATGGTGATGGTGATGGTGATGGTGATGGTGATGGTGATGGTGCTGCTGATGTTGGCGATGATGCTGATGCTGATGATGGTGATGATGATGATGACGATGCTGATGATGAGGATGATGAGGATGATGATGATGATGATGATGATGATGATGATACTGATACTGATACTGATACTGATACTGATACGAATACTGAAACTGATACTGATACTGATACTGATACTGATACTGATACTGATACTGATACTGATACTGATACTGATACTGATACTGATGATGGTGATGATGATGATGATGATGATGATGATGGTGATGGTGATGGTGATGGTGATGGTGATGGTGATGTTGATGGTGATGGTGATGGTGATGGTGATGGTGATGCTGCTGATGATGACGATGATGCTGACGTCCATGTGTCGGTGAGGAAGCTGATTGACTGAGGATGGCCGCAGCGGCGTGCTTGACGAGGACGATCATAGGCGACGGTGCGATGGCGCGGGTGGGAAGGTGCGCGGCGGAGCGCGCGCGTGTGGCCCGGAGTGCCTCATCTGAGGCGAGCTCGGGGCCCAAGAGGCGGGGGTCCATGCTCTCTGCCTCCTCTTCCTCTTCTCGCGGAGTCGCTCCTCTCGAGCTGCGCCGCTCCGAAGGCCCACGCGCCTCCCCCGCGCACCCCCCCGCGGCGGGCAAGCCGCCAGGGGGGGTGGGCGACCAGGGCCGGGCGAAGGGGGACGAGGAGAGGTCGGGAGCCTCGAGACGGGGGTCCATGCAAACGGGGGTCAGCCAGAGCGCCCGATCTTGCAGGATCCTGCAGGGCCGGGGTCGCATTGGCCCAGGCCTGGGTGCAGGATCCTGCAGGGTCCTGCAGGATCCTGTGCATTGACCCGGGTTTGGACGCAGGCTCTTGCAGGATCTGGCAGGATCCTGCAAGGCCTGACTGACCTGGGTCTGTATTGACCCAGGTCAGAAGATCCCCGACGGGTTTGCGTGCTGGGATCTAGGCCTTCTCGATGTGGTCCGAGTAGATGGGGTCGGAGAATCGCGCCGCATCGCCGATACATCACCGATGCGGCGCGATGCGGCGGTGCATCGCCGACGTTGCCGGTGCATCGCCGATGTATCGGACACCATCTACTCGGACCCCATCTACTCGGACCCCATCTAGGAGGCCCCTATGGGAGCATGCTGGATTAACGCGGGCGCACTGCGTGCTGAGACGAGAATGCGGGTTCTGAACGAGGATGATAGATTCTTGACGCTGCACCTAGCCTCACCAGCCCATCCAGACACGACGGGAGGCTTTCTTTGTGCCTCTTGGAGGCTGCCTCGAGCCATGCTCGGCTAGAGGCTGTCGGAGGCTGTCTTGAGCCATGCTCAGTCATCATGGGCCATCCCGAGGCTGTCTTGAAGTCTGTCGGAGTCTGTCTTGAGCCATGCTCGACCTTCTGGGACTATCTTCGGGGTAGGAGGAGGCGGGGGAGGCGAAAAAATGGCAAAGGAGGAGGAGAGGGGAGATAAGGCGGAGGATGACTGCGGCACGAAGAAGATGACGAGGAGGAGGAGGACGAGGAAGAGGAGGAGGAGGAGGGAGGAGGCAGAAAAGGAGGAGGGAAGAAACGGACGTTGACAAAGAGACGGAGAATATATTGTGTGAGAGGTTCTTGAATGACGACTACGGCCATCTTAGGGTCTCT